AAGTTTGACTAAATTGTTCCCTGAATCATCCCTTTCCCAACTTTTTTCACTTACAGGATTCTCCATCAAGGTGGTTACACAAAAGAGGAACAACTGGAGTTCAGAGCGATCATCTATGGCAACATCCTGCAGTCTGCTCTGGCCATCATCAGAGGCATGGAGATGCTGGCCATTGATTTTGGCTCTCCCGCATCACAGGTGTGATATAACACAAAAAATATTTTTCACCAGACATAATCAGCTTGTAGAGTACTTGTGGGGACAGAAAAGTGCATACCATTAATGCTCCAAGCTCTATAATGATGCTGACGGATGTTTGTTCTGTTTGCATGAAACCACAGGAGGATGCACAGAAGCTGCAGAACTTGTCAGACTCCATTGAAGAAGGCACGATGCCCACTGAGCTGGCTGATGTCATCAAGAAGCTGTGGAAAGACAGTGGTGTGCAGTCCGGCTTCGATAGAGCTGCTGAGTACCAACTCAACGACTCTGCTGGCTAGTGAGTCAATATCTACAAATGGAATTGATAGAGTACTGGGGGCCATTTATGAGCTATCTTAGTGTGTAAGACTGTTCTGACTTTCTCCTGTTTGCTATTGTGCTTCAGCTACCTCAATGAAATGGACAGAATCGGCAAGCCTGATTACCTCCCCACCGAGCAGGATGTGCTGCGATCTCGAGTCAAAACAACTGGTATCATCGAAGAACAGTTCTCCTGCAAGGAGTTGCACTTCAGGTAGGTCAAAACTAAAGAACCAAAGTCTAACACCAGCCGGCTGTCCTTACAGAGCTGTGTTATACAGGAGAGGCTGACTTTACTGTCGACTGTGTTTGATCATCAGGATGTTTGACGTGGGTGGCCAGAGGTCAGAGAGAAAGAAGTGGATCCATTGTTTCGAGGGTGTGACCTGCATCATCTTCTGCGGAGCTCTCAGCGCATACGACATGGTGCTGGTCGAGGATGACGAGGTGGTGAGTAAAGACTTCACTGCTTGAGGAAACACACATACAGTATCAGCCGGTAGCTCACAGCTGTTCTTCTCTTGGACCTTTTCAGAACCGCATGCACGAGTCCCTCCATCTATTCAACAGTATCTGCAACCACAGATTCTTTGCACTGACCTCAATCGTGCTTTTCCTCAACAAAAAGGATCTGTTTGAGGAGAAGATCAAGAAAGTCCACCTGAGCATCTGCTTCCCAGACTATGACGGTAAAATCAAATGATAAAATCAAATGACTAGAGTTTGTTTGTAACAAAACCAATATCAATCTGGTGATAACACAATTTAATGATGCGATTAAATGTAACTTACATCATGTTAACTGATTGTGACACACAAGAAGACATTTTTTTTTAACACAAATCTTGTCATAAATCTGCTCCTCTCCTCACCCCTAACCCCCTTTCAGGCCCCAACACGTATGACGACGCCAGCAACTACATCAAGTCGCAGTTTCTGGAGCTGAACATGAAGAAGGGTGTGAAAGAAATCTACTCCCACTTGACCTGTGCCACAGACACAAAGAACGTCGAGATTGTGTTCAACGCTGTGACAGACATCATCATAAAAGAAAACCTTAAAGATTGCGGTCTCTTCTAAGCAGCTCCAGAGTGAAAAGAGGTTCGTGGTGACACATGACGCAGAACTCCCTGGGACTATGTTGATGCAGAGTAACGGGGTCCAGATGAGGCAGCCGACAACTATCCAAAACATGAGCTCACACAAAACTAAAACCACACAAAGCTTAGACCCTCTGGGACTATGTAGGACCAGGAAGATAATAACCAGCAAAACAAACAATAATTGTACACTATTCAGTTTATAAACATCTTGAACCTAGCTAAATGTTCCCTTATAAAGCAGTAGAAAAAGAACATGATTTAAGGGGATCACAAAATGTTTGAGACTAATTTCTTTGCACTTTTCTCCACTTTACAAAACATATTTTCCAACCCCCCCCCCCCCCCCCCCTTAACCAAATTGTACCCTGCTACAGTATAAATCAATTATTGTTGCGATTTATAAGATTTGGAATTGCTTTTTCAAAGCTGCAAAAGTACACCATTAAGTTTGATTCAAAATGTTGTGGTGTCGGGTGATTTCAAGATGAGATGAGACTGATTTTTTTCCTTCACTTATTTTGCAGAACTTCCTTTCCTACCTTAACCCCTCACATATTGGCATTAACTGAGAGAGTACTGATAGAGCTCAGAGCATCCTCAGTTCGTTGTGTTCATGCCATCGAGTCCATGCCAAGTCCTGGTCCCAGACTGCTCCTAGCACACCAACCATCTCCAACAGTAGATCCCTGCAACACAGCGCACGCCCTGCTGGGTTCAAACAACTCTAAAGTCACCATGCTGCTGTTGTTGCCGATGTTCAGCTCACATCGACAAGATTCTTCAGTTTTTCTAAAGTACAGAATTGTCTGCTGGTTTGAAGGTTTGAAGATGATATAGTTGCTCAAGCAATCCTCGTTGCTTCTTTTTGACTGCTGTGTTGTAAGTTCTATTTACTATTAAAAACCAAGCTCTGTAAATTAAATAAAAAACATAATTCCTGGGGAAAATGATATTTTGAATAGCAACATTGCAACCTTGTTTTTCGTTTTTGAGTACAGTAGTCTCTGTGGTCTTGATATTTAAGCTGTAAAAAGTTGCTGAGCAAATATCACAGATATTCCCAGTGCTTGCAGTATATCCAGATTACAAATCAAATTGTAAATGTATCTAATATAAATAGTTTTAACTTATTCAAATCACTTAACATTTTGATGTGATGAATATATTTCAGAAGGTCAAACATGATAGAGGAACTTTGTACATAAGAGTAGATAATTAAATTTATTTTGAAAGATAATTCTTTATGGAAATATATGAGAGAGAGGGTAAAACTAGAGGGATGATGCTTTAATATGAAGAGGGAATGAAAATCAACCGACCTTGTCCTTTCTTATGAAATGTAGAGGCATGAAATAAAGATGCATTAACTTCACTTTTGTCTCTGTATTTTTTCTGCTGCAGAATCAAACTGTCAATCACTGAATAATGTATATCCAATTAGAGAAACATGGCTGCCAACACTGAAGGAGAGTCTCAGGCTGTCATCCAACAGGAACAATGATGTCATTATGTAAGTTCCTCTTTCTAGTCAGAAGGGAAATTGCAGCCTATGGAAGTTCATTTACAAAAAACTCGACTGAGAGAGCAAAACAAATTAGAGCGAAAATCTGCGAGACAAGATTTACTGTAAGATGTAGCAGGGATAATTTCATGAGATGTGACAGCCAGCAAGGACATCACTGAGAGCGCAGTCAGTGTGAGAACCAGATCGGCAGATTTCAGTCAGCAGTGCAGCTTCTTTTTCTCCCACGTTAGTAAAATTGCCTGTTCTTAGTTGTGGTACTTTGCACTGCAATCAAACTCAAGAATGAAGAGGTGAAGATCTGTCCAACACATGGCATCGTGTTAGAGTCCAGCTTTGTCACATCAAGCCTGTTCCCAGTGTGGTTCATGAATACATCCATCTGTCCGTCAAGATTTTAACTGTGAAAAGATGCAGTGTTACTCTTCTAAAGAGGCATGAGCATGAACTTCTGAGGCCTTTTAGCCAGAAGTGAATCTATAAAATCTGAGCCTCCTTTAACAAGTCAAGAGAACTTTTGATATTTTTTCTTAATGTCGACAGAACCAATCAAAAGATTACCCATGAAATAATAACCCTATTTGGTTTGGGTTGCGTGCTAATGACAGACAGAGGTGAAAATTTAACCACTAACATTGGTTTTGAGCTTTTCAAGGGAAGTATTTAGGAGAACATCTCTCTTTAAATGATTGAATTTATGTTGTGATAACCAGGGGCGTGTCCAGACTTTTCTGACTGGGGTGGCCCACCTGACTTATGCAGGAGTATCATGAGGTTTGTGGGAAAATACCCTCACAAGTGAATTTCATTTGTGCAAAGTCACAGTCTAAATTACTTGCATGCAAACTCTTGTAAGCTGTCTAACTTTTTCTTATGGCAATACAAATAATGTAATTATAACGCTATACATACATACATAAGAGTCACATATGACAATACATAAACATGCCACCAGCAGCATGTTGAAAACATTCAGAGTAATAACTTAAGTCCCGCCTCTGATTAGGCAAATAGCCAATCATAGACTTTTGCATTTGGAGTGGCACCTGGGTTGTCCAATAAGATTTGAAGGGGGGGGGGGGGTCATGCCACCCCTCTGAATACGCCCTGGTGATAACTGGTGTGTGCAGCAGCTGAAGCAAACTGAGCCCCCAACACAAAAGTACAGACATGTGTCTGAAGTCCAAACATACTGTTTCCAATTTGTGTGACCTCCTTCGCTGCACGGTTTAGTACAGACTCCTAAATAAATATTTAGTGGATGACATCTTACTGACACTGGCCAAGATTTTGTTTTAAACTCGAGACGTACTGGAGACGTACTGTGAAAATCAGGGCTGATGTTTAAAATAACAATTTAGTCGATTGCCAATTCTAATGTTTGCTTCATAACTTCTGTTATTCTTTGGGTCTGTTTTTTCAAATGCCATGTCATTGGATTTATTTCAACTGTTGTACATAGTCCCCCCTCTTGAGATGTCACTCTTACAAACTGCATGTCACTGATCATTCTCAGAGATAGTGCAAGTCTCCCACACTGCCTACATTTTCTTTCACCAGTATGTCAAACAGGTGACTTCTTCTGCTCAATGGAAACCCTCATCTCCGAGCCAGCTATCTGTTATACTAGCTTGTGTGCTTTAAATTGATGTGACACAAGAGACTGGCTACGGACATCTGTGCATGCCACATCATTTGCCGATGGGCCAGTGTTTTCACTTTTCACTACCGAGAAAGTTTTCTAGCAGGATTCATTTGTGCAGAACTTTACTGATCAAACTGTGCTCCAAGAAAGTACATAGTAGATTCCCTCAGTCTAATGTAGTGGCCACGGTTAAAAAAACACAAATATATCAAACTTCTTCTCTCTTTTGGTTTAATTTATTTATACATCTTCATTGATATCTACAGCAATACCCTTTTATCTTGAAAAAAAAGTTATCTGTGGACCTTGACTGAGTGAATAAGATTTGTCATATTCAAACACAAGAAAAAAAAAATATTTACCTCTACAAGCTGATTTGCAGTGATGTGTCTCATCTAGAAAAAATTTTCAATATTGAACTAGTAAAGGATCAAAAAGCAATGATGCTAATGATCTCACATGACTGTAGCTAATCCCAAACCTTACAGATCATGTTAGTTACATCAAAACTGCTTACACAAAAAACTTCTGCATACTTAAGTAATAGCACTCAAACATCCGTAAGTAGAAATACTACATGAATGTAACTCAAAATCAAAATCAAATGTAACAGTTGCAAATATTCAGTAAAGGCAATGTGATAAAAATGTAAGCTCAGAGAGGATGCAACAGTGAAACAGAATTTACACATGACTTGTGAGACTGCAGACTGCAGCCATGGGCTTGATACAAAGGCTCTTTTGGCCCTGATTCATACAATAGACAAACTATGAATGTGTCCCAGACATCAGAGGAGCTTGAACTGCCAGCACCGACTGATGCTCAGGTCTTCAATATGACAGGACTCCACATGACTCACAAGGATCATTTCACAAGCCTCTCTCACTTATCACTTGCTCCAAATTTTCTCTGCATCATGAATCTAATAAGACAATAGTGATCATAGTATCAAGTCCCCAAATAGCGGTAAAAGGTCCAGCATTCAGCATGGCCACAAGCTCAGTCCTCTGTTAGACCTACTTTGCATTTTGCCTTCTGCAGAAACAAACAAACAAGCCCAGAAGTCCCGATTTTCCTCCAGACACCTGCAAAGGAAAGGAAAATAACTACTATGCTTACAGGAAATATTCAGATCAAACATCCAAGTGCTGTCAATATAATACTTGTCAATATGTTCTTCTAATTTTATTCATAAGCTCCACAAAAAACAACCAGTACATAAAGCCAACAGGCAGTATACATTTTTCAAATTGAGTAAATGTTAGCATAATAAACATTTGGAGTGGTAAGCCTGGATGGTAGCACACTGCTAACAAGTTGGCTTTTACACACTGCCACTTCAAGGCAGGATATTATATAACACCCCTGTTCTGTTAAACCTGCAATGTGAAACGCATGGAGGTGGAATAGTTTTGGTGAAGTTATTCCACCATCAGAGGCCGAATGGAGGGGGGAGACGGTGGCCAGGTGTAACGTTGGAGCTAGCAAGGCAGATTAGCACTGTGTGTCTGTGAAGCTCTCACTGTGTTCACAAGCTGTGCTTTTCAACCCTGTAACAACGCAATGTGCAGTCACGGACTGGCACCAATATTACGCTGTTACAGATGCAATGTGTAAATATAAAGGCGTAACAATGGCATAGCTTCTTCATGGCGCTGTTTCAGTCAGTAAAGGGCTAGTGACAGTAACATTGAGACTTTTAGCATGCTAGTTTTTCCATGTTAGCATGTTATCATTTAGTTTACAAACTTCTTTCTGGCAAGGTAATTGGGAGTGACTCTCTGAGTGCAGTAAGTATCTAAGCAAAATTTCACTCCAATAGCTATAAAGCCAACAATGTCTGAGATACTCATTTGTATTATGTCATTTTAGTCGTTCACTGTACAATGACACCATGATGCCACATATCTCAATGATTCTACACAAACTGTAGTACAGGTGAAAGTCAGGGTGCAGACCTGCAGGCCATAAGCCTTAAAAGAGGCCGATCTCCCTCAGGTTGATCTTGATGATGACGTCGGTGACAGCATCGAACACAAACTGCACATTCTTGGTGTCTGTGGCACATGTGAAGTGGGTGTAGATCTCCTTAGTGTCTTTTCGTTTATTTAAGTCCTCGAACTGGCACTGGATATAAGCTGCAGCCTCTTCGTATGAGTGCCCACCTACAACAGAAACAAGGCCAATGATAAAAAATAACACAGTTTCAATTTTCATAATGCTGGTTAAACTGTGTAAAGGTAACAAACACATAAAGTTAAAAAAAAAATGTGCCCTTTCTCTGTGACCAGGTGTTGATCATTGTCTGCATGGCCACCTTACAGAAGAAGATCATTTCTCTCTCTCTGTCTCTGTTATTATCAGATGTTAATTTCTTTAAAACATTTTTGTATTGCAGTTACAGATTACAGAGATTATATTTTGCAGCAAACGTGAAAAATTGTGGGCAAAAAATGTAAAGTACAAACTGGGACAAAAATGTTCATATTGAATGGATTTAGTGATGACCTTTAAAATGACTGTGGCTCAATCTGTTGTGTAGAGGATCTATAGATTATAGGTTCAAAATACATCATGGATATTCGACAGGCCTTAGCTGGTATAATAATAAGCAAAAAATGGCCTACAGTGAATTAATCCAAGCTAAAATCTAAATGTTTGGCTGCATTTCAAGGAATGTATTCAATCCACATCAATGTTCAAACAAAGGAGATAGATGACTACATACTATTTCCTGTTTTTAACACACTTGAGGGAGTGAATACACACAAGGGGACAAACTTCAATAAAAGTGACAAATAACTAATCCAGAGATTTGTCTCACCGGAGTATTCAGGGTAGCAGATAGTGAGCGGACTCCTGCTGATCTTCTCGTCAAACAAGTCCTTCTTGTTGAGGAAGAGGATGATGGAGGTGAGCGTGAACCACTTGTTGTTGCAGATGGAGTCGAAAAGCTTCATGCTCTCATGCATCCGGTTCTGAGCGAGGAGCAGATGTGAATTTACACAATGTCTCTCATTTCCTTGGATCACATTTTGACATGTCACAGCAGGACAGCAGAGGTTAGTAATCAAAATCGTGACGTCCTGTTAATTTACAACGGTTTTTAACTACAGGCTCCATGTGGCACATAAATGAAATACCATTTTAAACATATTGTAAATACAATGGATTAATTAAACACAATTTGCAGGGCTCGTAATGTTTGAATCGAAATGAAAAGGGTTCTGTTGTGTCTTCGCCAGCACTGACAAGCCACAAAATAAAAGCTGGCTCACTGTCATGTCTTACTGGAACACTTGAACAGAAGCCATCCTTAATCTTATTAGTAACACCTGTGCTTCTCATCTTCTGAGAAAGCCAAATGTGTGCTGTGGAAAAGGCAGGTCTCGAAACATGAAATCTAGTATTGACTTCTCGTTAAGATTCAGGGATCGTATTTAATAACGGTGCTTCATCATTTACCATCTCCTCATCCTCGGCCAAGACGAGGTCGTAGTCACTGAGCGCCACACAGAAAATGATACTTGTGACTCCCTCAAAACAATGGATCCACTTCTTCCTCTCTGAGCGCTGACCCCCAACATCAAACATCCTGCAGAAGCACGTACACACACAAACAGAGACGCAGGGATGGTAAAAGTAAATGTAAAGTGAATGTTAACACTCTACTTCTAATGTCTTTTTAGTTGAATTAATGATGAGGAGGAATTCCATTGAATTACAAAGCATGACTAAGCATAAACACTCAGATTCAAACACATGCTTGTTTATGATACTTCTGCCTTCAACTGAGGCGATCAGAGCCAACCTGAATCTGAACTTTACTTTTAACTGACACAGAACTGAAATGACAGAATGCATTTGAATCTCATCTCAGTAATTACACGTGTAGAGATGCTGAACAATTTTTTGGGCGGTTACAAGCACAGTCCTAAGAGTTTTTCATGGCTTAGACTTGCAAGACTATGACTGTACATGAGTAGATCAATTATTATGTTAATACTAACTTGAAGTAGAGATCTTTGAAGGTGAAGTGAGTCTCCACGATGCCAGTTGTCTTAACTCGTGTACGAAGCACATCCTGCTGAGTCGGGACGTAGTTCGGCTCACAGATCCTCTCCAAATCATTCAGGTAGCTGGAAGACAGAAAACATACCTTTATGCAGTCGAGTTCGATCAATATATTGTTCAGCATAAAATATAAGGCTGATATAGGCCTTTCACAGATACATCAGACTGCTACATGTTTTCAGACTGCTACTTATTCTCCAAATAAATATGCAGAAAACAATGCTGTGAGTAATTTAAATACTAGTAGTCTGCTCTGACTTCGAAAATACTCTCAGTACTGTGTGCAGCACCTGCACTCGAGCATCCCAGCTACGGAGTCTCCTTGGCCCACATCAGAATTGATCCACATTTTATTAATGTTATCAAATATTCTTTGTTTAAGATTTTTTTCTTTTAAGAAAAAAACCTCTGACTTCTTATGCGTGGTCTTAAATGTGCAAAATTAACGAACCAACACTAAAATTGAATTCCTGGATTTGTTCCCTTGTATGTGGATATTAGCACCGGTCTAAAAAATAATCCTTAATCAGTGTTCTCTAATATGGAGATTATTCATGAAATCTACTGTAGCAGGATCTCATAGTATGTGTCTGTGGAAAAATGTGCCAACATAAGTGTCTGTTTTCCTTAATAAAATAAAGGGTACTATGCAGGGGCTTTCTGGACGTAAAGTTTAATATATCTTTATTTTCAAAGACATTTATCTCTAGTATCTCTGGCAGACATGACTCCACAGAACGATGCTAAATATGGGCTCATATTTTGGTGGGTTATAAACACTGGCTCCTTGTGGGTTTGAATGACAACAGACTAACCCCACTAGTTTCATAGTGTAGACGAAGTGCACTCAGAACTATGACAGCGCTGTTGTTTTCAAAACAAAAAACGTGTCCTTCACACTTAACTACTATCTGTTACGGATCGTGAAAACTAAGAGGAGGACCCAGATGCAGAATTAACAAAAATATGTTATGTTAACAAAAAGCCAAAGCAAACAAAACTCACTAATTCAAAAAATGTGCAAAAAGAAGCCAAAGGGGGAAAAAAAAGGAGCCATGAGGAAACATTAGAAAGTCTGACATAGACAAACAAACTACACTCTACTTACGACATACAATGACCTGACACTGAAGGGAAGAAACACAGAGACTAAATAGACACAGGGGTAATCAAACACAGGTTTGACTAATGACACTGGTGAAGACAATGAGGGCAATCATACTGGAGGGAAACACACAGAGGAAGGAATGAACACAAGACAAGAAACACTGAAGACACTGTGGAATGAAAAATTAAGAAACACTAGAACATAGAGTGAAACACCAGGGAAGAATGAGATCTAAAAGATAAAACCATCTAACTGTGAAAAACTAAACTAAACAGAACAAATCATGACGACAAATCAAACGCTGCAGAAACAGAAAGCCTTAACTCTTCATGAACACTGGACTATATTTAGCTCAAACTATTTGTTTGGCATGTTGATAACTGTATCCAGTGGTTAAATATACATTTTGTCAGGTTAAGTGATATCTAAACAAGTATATGGTAACAGAGATACTCCAGTTGTCAGTTTCTCTTTCATGTTTCTCCTTTTTCAGGAATGTGATCAATCTGTACAACAAGCTGACACAAGACTGTAAGGAACAAGTCACATCTCGTCTCTCTCTTTGTTCCAGCAATAATATGACACAAATGAAGAAGAAAACTTCTTAGTCAACATGGAGCCACTTCTCTGTAATGAGGAAACAGGATTACAAGAAATGGTATCATCCAATTTAAAAGTAGGACCTTGAGAACAGGTGACGCAATTTCAAAAATTCCCTCTTGATCATCACGGCAGTCACATTTTCATGGAGAATAAACTGGAAGTGTTAATACCATGAGTACTAACCAAAACAAATAAAGAAATCTGAATCAAACAAATGATGGATTATGGATTTACCTGCAAGTTATTTACACAACTGGTTGATTCTTTGCGAATGTCCAAAAATTTATGATATTCAATATCTCATTTTGTTCAACAGCAGTCAAAAATAATTGACATATAATCATAAAACAGCCAAGCCTTGCAACAGAGACAAACTGAATCAACACAATAGTAGTTTTTAAAATCTATTATTTTCCCCTGGACAGATCGATCATCTTTTACAGCTTCAGCATGATCTGAAAAGAACACTGATTGTTAACTCTTTGAGGACAATTTAATAAAGGCTGTATAGCAGCTTTAATGCAGGTTTTGAGTCCTTAAATCACTGAGATAAAGACTGCAGTCATCTGCGTAAAGGTTTGTCTTACAGCTGTATTTTATACTTGGTAAGGGTTTAGGGATCTGTATGTGAATAAGTGAGTGTTCACTATGCAGCACAGTCCATCAAAACATGCCTAAACACCAGTTTCCCGTGAACTGATCAATAATGTCTCTTATAGCTCTTTCATGAAATTAAATGATCTTGCAGCGGATTATTATGAAACCTTTTTTCAGAAAAATGTATTACTGTAATTAAGGGTGAAAACAAGATTCAATTACTTGTAAAGCATTCTCTTTGCAGATTTTGTTTAGTTACATCGCTGAGATAAAGAATGCAGTCATCTGCATATTGACAAATTTTAATGGTGGTAATTAAAGTGTTTAGGGATCTATCTGTAGAGAAGTGAGTCCTTACTATGCAGCGGAGTCATTGAGTTGATACTCTCGTGATCGATCAAAGCACTCCTGAACCCCAACATCTTTCCACAGCCTCCGAATCACAGTGGTCAGCTCTGGCGAAATCACACCTTCCTCCGCCGAGCTCGCCAGGGCAAACAGTTGGCGAGCATCGTCCTGGCAAAAAAAGATACAAATTTTGCTGTCATGGCAAACCTTTTTTTGTGGTGATTCATATTATCTTCAAGGATGTTGCTCTTCAAAAGTCAAAGAAAAAAGGAGTCAGAGCTTGGTTTATTTACCGCCCGCGCAGCATCTCCAAATTCTATTTGCAAGCGTCCCATGGCTCTGATGATGGCCATAATGGACTGGATGGTGTTGCTGTACACGACCATTTTGTACTGCTTGCACTCTTCTTCGGAGTAGCCATCTTCATGAATAATTCTGATACAGAAGCAAAAAATAAATAGGCTTTTAGAGTCCTGATAAACAGTGTTAACAATGAGTGTAACAAATGTGGGACAAATTACAGTTTTAAGAATAATTTCATGCAACACTGTCATTAGTGCTGGAATTTGAGCTTCAGTGAGCATGCAGCATGCCTAATGTGGGAACTGGGGGAATCTATTCAGGTCCTGCCAGGCTACCACTGGCCTCTTTTGTTTGACATAATATGTAAAAGGGTGCTTCCTCCTCTGCCTGAGCCCAGTAAAATGAGGCTGTTACTTTGCTTCCAATGAGGGATGAACCCTGTTTGCAATCACAGCTTTCCGCACACCATTAACCTCTGACAACAAGGCTGCAGCTGAAAGAGCGAGGAAGAGCGACTGTCTTTTGTCAACAAAATACAAAAATAGCAGCAAAGCCTTATAGGGAAAGTAGCAATTGGATGCAATGTCATGTGAAGTTTTAACTGTGACTTACTTCATCTGCTTTACTATCGTGCTTTTCCCAGATTCCCCAGCACCTGAAAAACACGCAGAGTATTTAGGCTGCCATAAGAGAAATGTCAATAGCTTAAAAAGAAAAAAACTGACACCAGATGTTAGAGTCCTCTCACATGGAGGAAGGATCTCTACAGCTTTTCATGAAGGCTGAACAGAAATTGATCCCATCATTCACCATATAATGTACCTTTTGTTTCAAACACAATGATTAAGGAAAAGCTTCCTTTGACGAAGTTCAACAGCAAACCTTCATATGGGGCCTGAGGGGCTTTATATTGTCATGGCATGTGCATGTTGTGCTGGTATGAGTAGCTCAAATCTTCCTTTAGATAAGCTGTTTGTCATTGGCCTCATGTACACAAGTGTTATATGGAGGAGTCAGATACAATCTGCTTACCCTAAAATGTGTACAGTAAACCACAGTGGTGCAGAAGCACCGAGAGGATTTAGGGAAACAGATGTGTTATGAGCTGGGTTTAACATTCTGTGACAAATGATGGTACAACTTATATCAAATCCTTTAATACAATAAAGGCTGCTGTAAAAAATGTTAAGAGGGGAAATGATTTCACATGAGGAACCTCCACAGTATTTCTACAACTATTAGCCAAACAGGAAACAGTTGTCACGCATCTGGCTGAGCCAGTGTTTTTCCACTGGAGAGACAATCCCAGATATCATGCCGCTGTGAGCGTCAGAAAGCAGAAGGGCCATAAAAAAACCCCACAGATTATTTAATGAGTCTAACAGTGACCTAAAGCCCCACAATAAACACTGAATTCTTCCCTGCTCAAAAATTGCTGTACAATAGACGACAGTCTGCTTCTCTTCTTCCATTTTTTAACCCATTCTTCCTTAATTTTGAACCATGTTCTCTAGTGTCTAAATTGGTTATAATGATTCTTATTTTAGGATGTCGTACTTCTCAACAGGAACAAAGGGTTTTGAATGTCTTTACTAATAATGAAACAGGTCAAATACATTTTCCATCAAGATGTTGGCAACCAACAGAGATGTCACTCCCACTCATCTTTCTCTGACCAGGGCTTTTCTTTGAGATAGCCCACCCACAAATATATATATAAAAAGGCATTGTCTTATATATGCAGCATATGTTGCTTCAAAAAGTGTATATATGGTTTAGCATCAATGGTGCATTCACATTTGCAGGTTACTGTGCGCACTAATGAACCCCCAAGCCACCATGGATGCTGGCTTTTGAACTGTGCATTAATAAAAAACTGGATAGCCCCTCTTAAGCCTGGAGAATAAGTGTCCAAAGTCATGTTTGTAATTGTCAGACATCAGGAGTCAATTTTAAACAAGCTCAGGCCCAGAAAAGGCAGTGATGTTTCTGGATCTAGTTTAAAAACAGTTTCCTCTTTGCATGTCAGAGTTTATAAGAACTGTATGGTTGGATGCAACAATGAACCGTGTTCACAATCAATGCTTTATGGAAGTGTTCTTGAGCCCATGCAGTGATGTCCACCAAAGAATCGTGTCTGTTTTAAATGCAGGGCCGCCAGAGGGCCCGAAGATTACAGCCACTTAATGTTGGTTTTTGGTCTTGTCCCCAGAGATTTCTTCAGATTCTCTTAATATTTTGATGATACTACAGACAATGAATTCCCTCATTCTTTGCAATTATATAGAAAAAAAAACCTATCATAATCAGGGCGCCAGTGGTTCAGTGGTTAATTTACTCGCCCCATGATGACTGTACAGAGGCTACAGTCTTCAAGCCGGCAGCCCAGGATTGAAATCCAACCTGTGGCTCCTTTGCTGCATGTCATTCCCAACTCTCTCTCTCTGCTGATTTATTATACTATCCCATGTCCTGTCTCTTTAATAAAGGCATAAAAAGCCAACAAATAATTCTTAAAAAACAAAACATGAATCTTAAAGTGTTGCACTATTTACCAGCATACCCTCTCTGGGAGGCCCATTTTTTACTCCAATAATCTTACCAACCTGTTGCTAGTTAAACTCATTAGCCATTTTCAGGGTGTAATTCTTCTACAGCGCCGTAATGAAACTCCATGGTTATAACGCGTTAAGACATTCAGATTGATTCCGCAACAGTGTTATATTAATGTCCCAGTATGTGAACCATCGGACAGTGATGTCCCAACCACCGCTTGATGCCCAGCCACCTCCATCAGACTGTGTCGTCCCCACAACCACCGCCATCCTCATTCATGTACAGCCTCCTCCGACCCCTACCTCAGCAGCAAGGAAGTGTGGACAGCAGGAACGCGAGGAAAACAACGTAGAAATCCTTCCTGCATATTATCCTACATGCTCTTTTGTAAAGTGTCTTGGGATAACACTTGTTATGAATTGGCGCTATACAAACAATGATTGATTGATTGAATTCACGTGTGTGAGAGCACGGCACAGATATGCACACACACAGCGCTGCACTTCCCCGCTTGCTCTGCTGATCCTGCCTAGCCTCTGCGACGCCTCTGTTACTACCTCCGAAGATGCTTGGTGCAACTGTCCCAACTTTTTTTTTAAAAACATTTTGAGAGTATCAAGTTCAAATTGTGCATATCATTTTCAAGCAAAATAGTTTTTCTCAGTTTCACATGGTCACTTTTGGCTCCAAAAATCCAATGGGGATGGCAACAATGCCAAACTCTGAGGTTTCAGAATCGCTGTCTACTCACCAATGGTTGATGTCATGTTGGCTACAACTAACTCTTATATAAATTTTATGATTTGAAGCCAGATTTTTGCAGTGACAAGTTGGTACTTCACCACTCCAGAATAAGAAATATTTCCAAAGCTGTTAAAATGAAGAGGCATGTAAACATGTGTGAACTTGAAACGTTTGAAGTCAAACTAAGAAAACCTTGGATAAGATACTTCTAAAAAAGAAAATCTGGGTTGAGTTTATACTGGCAGTATAGCCTCCTTTTGCTTAATATTACCACAATAATTACGAGTAACCACAGGATGAAGACGTATTCACTATTCATTTAGGCAATGGAATTTAAAATGTGAAAAACCCTTATTTCTAATTATGTTGTCAGAATTTTTTAAATAATGTGGTTACTTTTCTTAATATTGTTGTTCCTCAAAGTTAGTGGTACAGGACATTTTTAGTAAATGAACTTTGTCAAGAAGACTTGCAGTAGAGTTATGTTCAGAAGAGCAGCCAACATGAGTTAAATCCATGAAACCTTTTGTTAAGCTGTCACTAGTAAAAGTGATTTATGCCAGCTCACCAGACGTGCAGGAGAGAACAAATTGTGTTGTTCCATTTCCTCAGTTCTGTCAGTCACCAAGTATCTCATTCATGGAACTTTTTGGCCGATCGTCAAATGTGCCTCTCAGCCAGCTCTCAAACCAACTTCACACAGACGACAGACGTGTAGGAGTCTGAACTCCAAACCAAGCCTCATTAAACAAGAATCTCAAAGGTAGATTTTTTTTTATGAATCGCTGTTTGCGGTTTAACAGGAGAACATTTTCATTGGAAGGGTGTGTTGGCGCTCCAGTTTTGTGGTAAAACAGCAGCTGGATTTTCTTTTGTTTTTCTTCCATAACTCCTCATTCCAGTACAGAGAGGAGGGCACTGCCTGGAAAAAATCACTCCCTCCTAACTCTTTTTGCCAGAACTTTTACCAAACAATAACATTTTACCTACATTGAAATATTTTACCACCAAACAAATCCTCAGTATGAAGTAAATTGTCCATAATCATTGAGGTAATGGCAGGGATTCATCTATAACCTTGACAAAAACACTGCAAAGGGGTACCTTCCTTTAAAAACGCTCCCTTTCATTTTCATGAAACAAGAAGGCAAACATTGAAGTACCATATGAAATGGTCTTACCCAAAATTTTACAAAGTATAAAAATCCTGTCTGTTTTCACCAACGATGAGCAAGAAAATACTGCACTCCCTGTTATGATGATGGTAAGAAGTAGATGAGTTTAACTGCTCTGTGATGGTTCCACAACAAATCTCAGATACAATCTTTGCTGAGCAGTGTTGCCCCGGAAAATCAGAGCTACAAAGAGCTACATATTTTTGGAACTCCATACCAAGTCAAATCAGAGAGTGCCTTACTGTAGCTTTGCTGAATTTAAATCTAAGATGAAATCATGACTAAAATCAACTCAATCATGTACTCATCAAACATAAACACATGAAGTTTGATGAACTCTGTTTGATAATGTTGTAGTGTATTAATGTTTGTGTATTGTGATATTGTATGATGTGTTGATTTGGGGATGTGATGTGATGTTGTGGTACAGCTGTTTTTGTTATGTAGCTTACAGCTTTTAATGGATTCATATTGTATGGTTTATGCCATTGTGGAGGAACTTGAGGCTGCTGTATTAGTGGTAAGGTAACACATAGTTCCTAAAGTGTAGTGCTCTTAGCCTATTAATGTTTTAATATATTTTGTGAATTTCCCTGTGAATGAATTTAATGCTGTTGTAGAGTGGTGATGCCCAAGCCCGGCGCAGTCTAGGCCTGTAAAGGCTGTTTCATCATGAGCCGGGGATCCAGACGAAGATTTCTGCCCTTTAATAAGGCAGTTTTTTCTTACCACTGTAACTTTTGCTGCTTTGCTAAAGTGCTCATGATGGATAGGCCGGGTCTTTGTAATATAGCAATAAGTAAGGTCTTTTACCTGCTTTTTGTAAAGTGTCTCGAGATAACACTTGTTATGAGTTGACGCTATACAAATAAAAATTGATTGATTGATTGTTGTGTAGATGTTTTTGGTATATTTCTTAACAGAGACTTGTTTCTGTCTCCTAACCAGGGACTACAGAAGTAAATTAGCTCATAGCTAACTCTGGTTCAGCTAAGTGGCTGTGTAGCATGTGTAATGAACATCTTCAGCTACATTAAAAAGTCTGACATGTGGATATTTTTCCAAGATCAATAAATATAAGGGTACTTGCAACTTCAGACACAGCCATCTCTGCATCATGAAGCATCAGTGCAGTATGTTAGAATATCTTCAGGATGTCCTGCAGCATGAAAATGAATGTTGGGAAGTTTACATGTCAGGAGCTTACTCTAAATCTACTTCTGTGCGTAAAACTGTCCTTTTCATAAAGAACGTGTTACTCCCCTTGATTCTGGTAACATGTTTTAGTCCATGGTTACACACACCATGATGTTACAGACATAATGAAAAGCCATGAGGGCTCCCGCACAATCTACAGCTTGAAAGTCGACAGATGCCAAACTGATCATACACCACATGTTTGTCTTTTTAAGCAGTAACTTAAAATTGTTGTGATTTGCACAACACAAGAATTACTCGTAGCAACAGTGGATAATTGGAGCTAAGTAGCAGCAACAAAACCTAAGAAGAAAAAGAAAAGGATATCATGTTCTGTTCCAGGTGTTATGATCCTAACACTGTTATTCTGATCTGTTTTTCGGTATAGATCTAATGTGATGTAAACTTGCACAGTCAGCATATTAAACTAGCAAAAGACATTTGCAGAGAGAAGTTCTTGCGAGGGGGACATCGGAATGAAATATGCTGCTGGAATGGACTGAGGCCATTTAATCCTCTTGGCACGTCTGTGCATCCACACCCACAGTGGCAGGACCACAAAGTGAGCAAGTTATACAGACCAGCAGGCAATGCAGCTACACACAGCCGGTGGTTAATAGAGTCCCTAATGTGGGCAAGGTCATGACACTGAACCTAGAAGCAACCATGAGTCATAGATGCTTCTCTCTGCTTTTAAGCTGCATGTCTGAGTTTTGAAATATTGGTCTAAGAAATCTTTAAGACTCTATTTTATTCTGACTTTAAAAGGGACAAAAGATTCAAAAGTTTCATCTTGAAACTAATCGTTACCTATAAGTTCTGCATGAGTATGGTTGATACTCATCATTGCCACAGACATTGCATAACGATGGATATTTGTTCAGGCTAGTCCCAACACAGATCAAAGCATGTATTGCTTTAGTGTTCAGTCCTAAACACAGAACACTTTCACCTGGTCAACATTTCTGCACATGTAAAGTTTTGAATGTAATCAATTTGGTAAAACAGACCTGCAGGAGTTACCTTGCTTTGTGACTAGTGTCAACACTTGTCAACAAATAGGCCTTGTCTCCTCTGAGCATGAATCCACTACTCCTATACCTAGGACTAGCCTCTTAGCCCTCTCTCAACCAACATCTGGATACATTCTATGAGTTCTGTCAGTGCAGATGAGCCACAGCTGTTTTAAACCAACAGAAGGAACAGGAAGAGTGAACTCAGATATACAAAAAGTCAAAATTAAAAGTAGGCTACCCAAAGATTGACGGGTTAATTTCATGCATTAAAAAGTACGAGTATGGATCACCAGTTCCATAAAAAAAAAGAGCCCAGCGTAACATACCGAGCAGTAGGAGTTTGACTTCTCTGGAGGATTTCTCTCTGTCCTCCCGCAGGTTTTTATCAATCATTTTACTCCTCTCCACCGCAGCCTTGTCCTCTGCGCTGATCGTGCAGCCCATTTTCACTATCAAACTACTTCTTTACCGTACGACAGAAGGTTCAGTCGCTCATGAGTCGCAGAAAAAAAGAAAAGCCGTCAAATTGCCCTTGGGGCGGTGTGAGCTGAACTTTCCCAGCCGAGGAGAAGTGGACAGAGGGGAAGGCGTTGGCACGGGAGTGCTCTTCTGTCCAAAGATAGGCACAAGACTGATGCTGAGCTTCCACAGCTTCCACTCACTCCTCTCTGTTTTTCTCTGTCTGCCTTGGTGAGGAATTTGATCAGAAAAAAAACCTGCCAAAAAGTAGTTTTCGTTTCAATATATTTCATCCAAGTTATCAGAACTTCAGTCCCCGCAGTAGAACTTCAACATGAAAAAATAGGCTATAAACACAAAATAGGCTGCTTGGATAAGTTAACTTATCCAGCGTCTCATAGAAAAGAAATAAACCTCCACGAATGAAAAACAATCACTGTTTTTGTAACGTGTTAAGACAGGCTCATGTGCCGTCGCGCGTTCATCCAGCTGAAGAAAAAAAAAAAACAGCACCGAAAGAGGAACAAACGATGCGCCTCAGAGGGCTGACGGGTAATGTAGTCGTTTCTAAAACAACAGCTAGGCCAATGTGTTATCTGGCCTCTCTGGTTTTGGAACATAATTTTAGCTTAAAATCAGGCATGCTCCTCGCAAAATTTCGTGAACTAATTATTATGTATGCTCTCTTAAAAGGAAAATTGAAGCTTCTTGTGCACGTTTTCTCGCCAGTTTGTAGGCATGTCGTTCAGGAGTAAGCAGGAAGGAAGGAGGTTTGTGTGTGTGTGTGTGTGGTGTTAGAGCGCCCCCAGCTGACCCATAGCTGACTTTCAAAGGGGGGTTGATTGAGTCGGCCTGTCCGCTAATGAAGACAGAGAGCAGACAAAAGACTAGTTAGTTCGGTTAAGTTAAGTTTAACCTTACTTGTTCCTGGTCTACTCCGTTCAAAACCAAGGACTACAACCTAAAGGTGAACTTTGAATGAAACTAGGCTGAGTAATATTTTTGCGTAATTACATCAATGTGAACTTAATCAATGGCATGGTCAGTAAAAAAGCTTCTGTAGTTCGCGGTTCAGTCAATTTTTCATTGCCCTTCTCAGCAGGCTATATGTCAGTCTTTGAACTCACTGGTGTGTATAAAATAAACGTAGGCTATAGCCTTGGTAGCCTACATGTCGAGTCACTCGCCCTTTTCCCGTCTTCTACACTTGTGTTCTCAGAGTAGGCCTGTTCACCTGATACAGCCTTGTTGTGGATGATGCATCACATTTGCAGATAAAGAAATGATATACGTTTCTACTCCTTCATTTGGTTACCATCTTTTCATGTCTTTTGGCATTGGAAAACTAACTTTGCACTTATATGTATCCTTTGGACTGATTGACCTCTGATCTTATGGACCCAACATATTTATCAAGCCCTTACATATAGGTTGACAGACAAAAAAAAGGGAAATTTACAATCCCCCAACTTGCTCTGTAGGCTACTATCTAAAAGAGATCTACTTGAACCAAAATGTAATTAATGAGGTAGAAGAGAGAGCTGTAGATGTGTAGATAAAATGTGATTTAAAACTCTGGAAAGCTTTAAAAAACTAACATCGCAAACAGTGTCTTATCTCCTTAATGAATAGAAATAAATTAAACATAGATTAAAAAGTACCGTAAGACTTAAGTCTGTATTTGCAACAGTGATTTTACTCTCTTTCAGCTCCAGTCTGCTCCTGTTCCTCCTGTTCCTCCTATCACAGCCCTCCGCTCCATCATCAGCACAGCTGACTGAGGGAACAGTGGATTCAGAGAAGTCAGGACCTGGAAGTAAGGGAAAAATTCACAAGAGCAATTTCCTCTCTGATCCACAGAGGAAGACTTTTCACTGCCGACACACACATTTACATCTATTTGTATTTTAGGGTTCTCCATGCTGTGCAATAACAGGTCAGTTCAGGCTCTTGGTTTACAAGAAACACCCCCAACTCATCCTCTGAATGTCTGGGCTGTGCACCTAGCAGCTCCCCCAGAGTGACAGGATGCTGGCGTCTGTCCTTGAGCACCCTCAGTGGGCGTGTTGTTGTCTGTCACAAAGGTCAGGCTGTTTGAACTGAGCACTGTGGGAGGCGGCCTCCTCTGCTGCACATGAAAGCTCTGAGTCAGTGCATCTGATGGCGAGCATCACAGGAGAGGCTTCATTAGGATAATCAGAAAAAAAAGAGGATGAGCTGATGATGACAGAACGAGACATTTCCTGTGAAAAATAACAGTAATTACATACTTAAATCCAAACTAAACCTCCCTATAAAAAGTCTCCTAAAATGTAATGAAGTGTGTTAATAACCTCAACCTCTGTCTAAATAATCTTGCAGTCCTTCTCTAACATCAATTTAATTTTATGTATCTGATTTTTTATGGTTATAGTCCTCGGTTGGTTTGGTTGTTATATTTAGTTTTATTCAGAACAGCCCCCCTCTGACGAGCCTCAGTATCCTCTAAATGTCACCCATCTTTTTATCCTCTTCTTAGGGCTTCATTTCACCTCGATGACACACACACACACACACACACACACACACACACACACACACACACACACACACACACACACACACACACACACATCACATGATGAATGTGGCTATTGATGTGAAAATGTCTCGTACCTATACATCAACAAGCACAACACTCAAGTAAATCTTCTCTTTTTGTCTTTAATCATTTCAGCTGACGGGCAACTGATACACGGGAGACTCTGAGCAAGAGGGAAAACAAACTAGAAAAAAAGAGGAATCTATACAGTCCTTCCAGCTTAGGTACAAAAAAAGAAACAAAGCAGAAAAAAAAAACAAAGATACAGAGTGGAAACTAAAACATTGCAGAGATTTTATGATTAAAGTAAAAAGTCCAAGATTGTTCATCAAAGCTGGAACATCATCTTGCCACTCACAGCAGAACAGATTCTTTTTAGGTCGTCCTCATCTTCAGCAGATGGTAGCAGAAAGTAGAGCTGAAAGTGTTGAATCTGATTGGCAGCTGTAACAGAAATCCAGCCGTTTGAATGTTGTATTGATGTGCAGTCAACATGATGGTATGACAGTGTGAAATATCACTGAACTGATTACTGCATGCTACGGGAAAGAGTAGAGGATCAATAACGGTCGCAGAGGAAGGTCTTAGATTCCCTAAAGGGATTTAATTCTTGTTTTTGTGCGCTGGTGTAATTTATCAAGGTAGATTTATGTTGATTATCAATATAAACGTATCATAAATTAATTTTGTAGTTTAGTTTTTGTGAATAAACACATTTAAAGATTGTAGGAATTTGAGGTTTATTGCTTTGTCTTGTTCTCACTTAATTATGGCCTCACTCCACCTTTTAACACATAAAACATTTCTCAAACAAAATGACACAATGACCCCTCCTGGTAAACAGTCACCAGCTATTTGAGAACATTAAGAACATTTTGCCCTTATGTAGGACAAAGAAAGCTTTTTTCGTTTATGTCTCTGAGCAAACGCAGAGTCTTTCCTGAGCGCCTTGTGTTGAGCAACTTGTGACCACACTAACAGTTTGTTATGAAGCAGATCAAAGGACAATGAAGGCAACAAAGAAGTATAAAAAGAGACCCAAAAAAAGAGTGCGATGTAAGATATTTGTGCCTCATGATTGTCTTTGGAACATCAACACTGCTCGTGTGACTTGTGCAACCTGCTTGTATCCACCTGAGATCAGAGAAAGTATCACTCATGTAATCCTTTTGTTTCTGAAGGAGGCCAAAGGCAAAGGCTGCCATGTGTAAGCATCACCTCTCCTGTGTGCTGTGTAGCCACAACAAACCTGGCTGTTTGTAGCACAAACACGAGCATTTGCACTGCGCCTGTGTTTACCTGAAAACACCACAGATGTCTGAGGGGTGATGGGGACTAGTTGTTTGAGTCTAATTTGATTGCGCTATAGCAAGTGTTTTTAATTTTTTTTTTAGAGACTTTCAATCATTAACACCGTCTAGGCAAAAAAATTTAAACAGCCACAATGTTTTTTCTTTCAGTTGAAGTGCTTGAAATCACGAGTTAACTAATGTGAGATCTTTTTGGTGAGGAAGTGATAATCACAAGACGGAGAGCAGATACACATGATAAAAATATTCATGGAAAAAGGTTAAAAATACTCTCCAGTGTCAGCCTGATTATCACAGACACCAGCAGCAGCACCAGCTGTGAAATGATCCTTTTTTACTCAATGAATATTTCAGTTTGAAACACTTTTTTTTAAAAGGACTCTGAATTTTCAGTCCGTTTCACCTGGGAAAGGAAAACCTTTTTGTATTAATTTCGTTATGGATCGTTTATGGGAGCGGATTTAAAAACACTTGCTGAACAAATTGGCAACAGCTAAATAATTGGACAATTTTTTTGGACATTTTCTTGTTTTCTTCCACCACAAATGTTCAGCAAAATAATAACACATTGTTGGAGATGAAATAGTGTCTAAATAGTGGTGGGAGTCATTTTTTTATATGGCTGAATCAATAATAATACAAAGTGATTCTTCAAAGGGATTGTTTAAGTCCTTCAAGACAAAAATGAGGGAACATTTTGCCCTCTACTTTAATTAAATGTAAATAAGATTCTATAGACGTCTTATGACAGATTAAAGAGCAGGACTTTTGATGTAGTTGAAATGATGTGCCACAAATCAGTTTAGTCAGCTATATTCTGATGTCTTATGCAGAACCACATTTTAATTAGCAAAGAATGAATTAATCTTTAAATGAAATCTTATCAAAACATACTGCCCGGCACTTTTCTGAATCATTCAAAGTATCTTTTGATGGCTCTTAGAGTCTTCTTGAAACTGTGGTTATTCTTCAGTTTTGCTCCCTCTAAGCTTACATTTTTTTTCATTTATCAATGATGCTTGACACTCATCCACCTGTGACACTGTACAGTCTGGCTCACACATGTAGAATGCTGCAGCATCATGACTGTTTGTGACTGTTGGCAACATGAAAGCCTCATGACGTAAAGCCAAGATGCAGCTTCAAAGCACTGTAGAAGTATGTACAAAAGACTTATCAATTCAACAAATGTAAGGAAATATGGATAAAACAGGGTATCTTTTATTAAATTCTAATGGCGCAGAGACAGCACATGAAAGGCATCTACAGCCCGGGTGCAGTTTTGCAGCAGTTCTCTGAGACATGCAGCTCATTGTTCAGCTGTTGCCGCTGTATGAACTCTGAGGTTTCCTCCAGAATCTGCCCGGGGATGTTAAAGTCAGCTGGCGTGTTCTGCTGAACATCTGATCCTTGAAGCCCCTCAGTCTCTGGCTCCAGTGGACTGGCTCTGCTGTGAGAGTTGCAGGGCTCCAGATTGCATCCAGTGCCCTGAAGAAACTGCAAAAAGTTCTCCTCGATGGAGGCTTCTCGACTTGCCAGCTGTTCCCCCTCACCAGGCCCAGCCCTCTTGAAGAGGCAGGCCAGGTGGCGACCCAGCTCCTCTCGTATCTGCCTGTTCAGGCAGCCGTAGAAGAAGGGGTTGGAGGTGAAGCAGAAATAGCCAATCCATGTGACTACGGTCTCCATCTGAGCCTGAGAGACAGGCGATGAAGACACCACAGCAGTATAGAGGTGGAAGGAGAAATATGGCAGCCAGCAGCAGAGAAACTGGCCTCCCACTGCCACAAGAACCACCGCAGCCTTCCCTCCACTGAAGCTCCTCTGTGGAGTACTGCGTGCACCAGTTCCCCAGAGGCTGGCTGCCATAGTTGAGTGGCTGCTGATGGACTCGGATCGTTGTCTCGGCGTGTCCATCCAGGTAGGAAGAGGGCCATGCTGCATGCCCGCCACCCGTGCCACCTTGAACATGTTGCAGTAGACCACCAGAATGATCAGCATGGGGCACAGGAAGTAGATGAACGTAAAGAAGATCATGAAGAGCAGCCGGGTGATTCTGCCTCCTGACCAGTGCAGGGAGCAGCGTCTCTGACCCTGAATGAGGACTGAAGGATTCCCAAGGCCCTGGTCCACCTGAAACAGCCACCCTAAGAGGGGCAGCACTGACATAATCACAGCTTTAATCCAGATTCCCACCAGCACCATCACCACCACCCTTACCGTCATCTTCACTTGGTGACGCATGGGATGAATGATGTAGTAGTAACGCTCCACGTTGATGGCACATATTGTGAGGATGGCAGCGCTCACAAGACACACACTCAGGGAGAGGTAGCTCCGGCACAGGGCCTCGTCCACCAGGATCCAGTCAGACAGCATCCCTAAAGGCATCAGGACCACTGCAGCCAGCAGGTCAACCAAGCACAGGTGGAACACAAAGGCAAACTTTCTTAGCTGCGGCGTTTTGGTGATAACGATCATCACCGCCAAGTTCCCCACCACTGCCAGCATGTCCATGATGATCATAGCACACAACGCCAACAACTGGTTTAGGTCTACCCCCCCTCCATTGCCAAAGATAGACTGGGAGTTGTTTGAGATATTCTGATGCAGGGATTCTGACAGTGTGGGGAGGCCAGGGAGAGAACAGTTACAGGATGGGCTCGGTGTGATGGGACGCTCCATGAGAGGATGGGATAAAGAGGAGAGAGTCCGCTGAAGTTCACAGGCCCATCACCCATCCTCCCCTGTCATAGGGTGTCACTAAGAAACTTAGATGGTGGTATCTGTCCTGGCAGGCCTGGACCCTGGTGGCGTGTAGTCTGGAGCTCAGCAGCCGATGTTACTCACGATTCTTTGTATTTATAGCAAAGGCGTCTGTCTCTTCCAGAATTACCTAAAATCTGAAACGAAAGAGACAGTACAGATTAAAAAGAGTGCAAGCTGAAGTTTTTTTATCCAGTTTTACAAATTGCCTGCATTCTTTAAATGAAATATATCACAGGCCAACTGCGATGAAGGGAAAGGTGAATCATATTTTATTTAATCAACTTTTAAAAATATGTTTCTTTATAGATATTGTATGAGAAATTTTGGCTTTTTTACATGGAAAATTACAGATTTTTCACACCAAACAGCAACCAGATAGTTTTTGTTTTTTACTAGACACTAGACACACTAATATTGCTATGAAATATCGCATTTGTAACCGAAACCAGCTGATTAATTGGAGGCTATTTAAGAGCATGCAGGGAACATTCATGATTATGATTTACGTCTAAGAAAGTTTAAAGATCTAGCCTTGCTGAAGCAAATTGCAGCCGGTGCCTCCACAAGAGTGTGACGAATGACTGACAGCTGACTCCAACTGCCAATGCATGAACTGCTGCAACTATGTAATTCACTGTAATGGCATCTAAGCCGCAGACATACCGATCTTTTTAGCCTTTTGGGGCCATCTTCTAAAAACTTCTACGTGTCTCCACCTCACCGCTCTCGTCCTGATACACCAATCACGTGCCTCACAATTTAGAATGATTCTGATTCACTATCATACGCAAGTTGGTGAGAAAAAAAATTGGCTGTACGCACATGTCATGAATCCGACGGTGATTTTGCGTATGCACTTATTTTATGCGCAGAGTAAGAACATTTCTACGCACATATTAGTGAATGAGGTCCATTGTCTCTCACTTGTAAAGTTGGTGGTTCAATCCCCAGCTTCTGCAGTCTACATTGTGTTCCTAGGCAAGCCCCATGACATGAAGACATGAAGAGTAATAGTGTGTTGTGTGGTCAGTAGACTAAAAAGCACTAGAGGTGGTCTATTTACCGTTTGCCAAAGATAATACATCCCAGAAAAAAACATTCTAATCTACTATTATCGCAAATACACTCATTCTCATATTCATAGTCTATCCACTCATAGACATGCATGACTGTATGACTATGAATCTGAATGCAATCTCACATGAATCCCTCTCTCAAATTTAGGCCATTTCTGTTGCTCATCTGACATTTAAACCCTGTGTCAAATGATTCTTCAGCTTAAGATGTAAAGCTGTCAGACTTGGTGCATTCTGCACTCATTTGTTTGTAGGGTAATCATTTCCAACATATTTGACATCTGCATCCTCAGATGTGTGTTTTCAGGGCAGTCAGTGCCCTGAGGGAGAAGCTCAGGGTGCAGAGTGGACCATATGTCCCCTTAAACAGAGTCAAGAAGAGAACTGGATGCTTGAATAAAATGTGGAACACATGTTGTGGGAGGAGGCTTTTAATAAAAATACTCAAGAAAAATATTTTACAGTTAGTTCAACTTCCTTTGGAATGTCTCATTTATAGCAGAGGAAATAATAAAACCTATGTAGCTTTAGTAAATTAAAATCTGAAATGAGTTCAAACAGTGACTGAGAACCTTCAGCCGTTGAGTAATCAAGAGGCTCCACACTTTGTTTACTATCACAACCTCCCCTGGACGCAACCCCACACACTGTAAAAGCAGAGGAACAAGCACTACACCTTTGGTACATTTCCATATTCTACACACCTGCATGTGCAAGTTTTCCATTTCACAAGTGTGACAGGCTTCATCCCTGCAAGGCGCCTGTTCTTTTCCTGAACACGTACACACATCATGGAGCACCACAATCAGCTGACACACACAGGCGAGAGTAGGCGGCCTTTTCTGAATAGGTCAAAGGGTTACAGTCACCTTCAGCCCCATTAGAGAAAAAAAACCTCTCATCTCTGATATAGCAACAACAATGGAGGAGCCCTCTGGAGATTCTTAGTCCAATCAGAATTGATTGTCTTACAGCTCTCTGGGGTACGTGGTCAATTTGATGCTCGAAGAACCAGTAAATTAAAAATAATCAATTATCAACCAAGTTGCTATTTTCTACTCCCTCCAGCAAAATCAAATGGAAACATACGATTAAGAAAGAGTATTTAAAACAAATTTATGTGCATAAAAACACAAACAAATAGAGCTATTTAAATCATGAGGGGGAACAGTTGGGACTACAGCACAGCTTCCCATTTGATCCAATCTAATCAATTCACTGTTTTAGCTCAGAAGCTCTCAACAATTTACTCAAACTTAGAATATAAGATTGAGGCGGACTCTCTCTGTCTGTACTCTGGAAACATATGACTCTATAATATGCATATGACTCTACAATATGCACATGACTGTGCTTACTTCAAGGAGAAAAACTAGCCTGTTGTTCCTTTCATGACAAACACTTTTACACACACATTTAAATGAGAGATAAGCTTCATAAAGAACACACAGGCAGAACATCATCCTCTTTACCCAACATTTACCCCAAAAGACACACACACCCACACACTCCGCTAACAGATCAGGTGTGTGGCATTAAGTGGGTGACATACCTCAGTCTGGAGAGGGGCTGCTTCCTCCAATGCATGTTCACCATCTACTGAAGGACCTGTTTCGCTCTCCCTCCCTCCCATACACACACATGAACACACACACCACGTCACAGAGGGGGTGGGGGTGCTCCTTGTGTCTCCTCCTCACCTGCCTCCTTTCATCTCGTCATCACCTCCCACCTAACCAGCTGACACCCCCACCCCACCCCACCCCACCCCCCCCCCCCCCCCCATCCAGCCAAACCCACAGGCACACACCTCCACCTCCTCTTCGATCCAGCTGGAGCAGATTAGTAAAAAAGGAATAGGGGCTGAATAGATCTTTCAGCCTGTGATGCACATACACACACTCCTCCGCCTCACACACTCATGTACTGTCTCCTGCACACGCTCAGGGCAACTGCAGAGCCGAGCAGTGCAGACGGGCAGGCAGCAAGCGGCGAGGCAGCACCCAGCCTCCTTTCTCTCCACTGGGTCTTAGTGCCTGGTCGCCCCTGGCCTTCTTTGCTTTTCACCTCCTTCAACTAATCCCACCTAAATTCACGCCAGGTCCTTCTAACTGCTGTGGAAGTGACCAATAACAATGAGAGAAAATCTTTATTCTCTGGATTGGCATTTCTGTAATTCTCTGCCTCCTTCTGCTCAGCTCGCCAAGATCTCCCCTCAATTTAAAATCCGCCAAAAGCGCTCTCACGAGGCGGGATTATTGATTTACAAAGAGGGAAAGAATCCCGGAGGTTTATGTTAAAGAGCTGAGATTAAAATGAACAAAGGCGCAGCCCTCTAAACATAAATATCACACTTAGGGAACTGTTTCCATCCTGAGGAATGAGTTTGTTTACCAGTAGGATCGAGAGAAGGGAGCATTTCACATGTTGATTTTATTTTAGTGCCAAGAAAGCTGAAATTAAATTGAATGATTGGATCATTGATTAACAATTGGCTGATATCTTTAGTGTGATTTTTAGCTTAAATAGCAAATATTTGTGTTTTGTATCATTTTGCTTTGACCACCTAGTAGTACAAATAAGACTCGATGTTGATTTGATTTTAGATACTTTGCTTAAAAGTTTAATAATGAATAGGAAACAAGCTGCAGTATGCCTCATTCCATTTATGTGTACACATCTTAAAGTTGAACAAACACTCACTTTTACTTACAACCACAATTTGTTTGAAAAAGCGGTAGAGTGGTAAGATAAGGATTTTCAGACTAATACACCAAGAGTAATAAACAGGGGCTCTGGATAGCCTAGCAGCTATGCTGTGTACACCATGTACGGAGGTTGTTGTCCTCGTCATAGCGGTAGTAGCTTAAGACTCAGAATCAGAAATATTTTATTAATCACCAGGGTGAAATTCTGTTCAAATCTAACCCTGGCCCATTGCTGTGTGTCATCACCCACTCCAACATTTCCTGTCTATCTTCAGCTGTCCAACCAAATAAATACAAAAATAGTCCAAAAAATAACTTAAAAAAAAAAGTAATCAATAAAATGCTAAGAAAAAGACATTTGTATTGTTAAGATGAATGCATCAAGTCCAGCTCCAGCATCACAATAAGAGAAGAGAAATGTGTTAGTTTTCAATTCAATTCAAACAACTTTATTCATCCCTCTAGGGCAATTGGTTTGAAGCAGCTTGTATGTAAAGGACAGAAATACACACAACAACGTGCAGACAACAGTCATTCATAAGAGTCTACGTTGGAGAAGAGATCTTAAAAGGATTCTGATATTAACGACTGAGGAACGAATAAAGAAATGTAATGAATTGTAAAAGGACCGGTCTTGGTTAACAGATAAAAAGTCCTTAAAGAAATATATGAAAATTATGAAAAGCATGGATTTACAAACTGATGACAACAGAGAAAATGCACTTCAAAGAAATCGTCCAGAAGAAGCTAAAATTCTTGTAGCCTTCTGGAGTTCTGTAACTTTATTTTTGTCTTTAATTTGGATATCACATTTTATTAGGTGATCAAAGCCTTGTAGACAGGTTGGTGTGCATGACTCTATCTCCTGCTCAGAGAATTCAAGTTTCCTCATTGTGCAGATGTGGTAATTAATAAGAAACATGAAGGAGGTGTTTGGAGGGGGCTGTTGAATCCACCAAACTACTCGTTATTTTCATTTATTGTCCTTTGACATTTACACCTCCTCTGTATGAGTTTACAAGTCTAGGCTTTATTTTAGGCCTTCTGAAAGTTGCCTGTTCCTCTCTATTTAAATAAATACTCAGCCCCTCTCATTCGTTTAATGTGACAGCTCTCTTGCCTACGTGCGTTTCCTCAGGAATTCATTCAACAGTGCAGCTAAAAGCAGACAGATTCGTTTGGTCATTGCTGTTTTTGTACTGGTAAATCAATTGATTAATTGGACATATGTTGATTTATTGATCCAGGTATTGTGTTCAGCAGTGATGACCTGACAAAAACCTTCTTCTCTCTTGTTGTCTGCAGGTAGATTCTTCAGGAGCAGCTTGTGTTGTGAGTCTGTGGTCGAAAATGTGATCAATAAATCACAATTAAAGTTTTATTTTCCCTGAAATGTGTTCAGGAGTGACACCAACAGATAAAGAGTATCTATGAAATAAAACCAAGATGTGTTAGCAATACTACTTTTGAAGAAGGAAATGAGTATAGAAGACTTTTGTTTTGTTGTGTTTCTGTTACTTCATCACTATTAAGGTGCTCTGTGTGTGTGTGTGTGTGTGTGTGTGTGTGTGTGTGTGTGTGTGTCTCCTGTGACTACACTCGTGTCTGAGGTGTTGAATAATGGCAGAAATAGCAGAAACTTGCTCATGCCTGCAGAACCAATCACAGTGGAGGGGAATACAATAGTTTCCACGGCAACCCCTTCTTCAACCTCCTCCCAACCTGCACGCCCTCAACCACCACCACAATCACTCCTCCCACCCATCCTCAGCAGATAAGAAAAGTGAATGAGAACAGAAATGACACACACACACACACACACACACACACACACACACACACACACACACACACACACACACACACACACACCCACACACACACACACACACAGCATTGGCAGTAGCAGCCTTGAAGGAGATATTGTGTTTTACAACCACGTTGGATCAGTCGTTATTCTTCATTCTTCCATATTTCACTTCACACAGGTGAGTTAATGCTCAATCACAGATGCTGCTCGAATATTGTTTTCCCTTGTCATCTCAGGTCTCAGCAGCAGGGGGAGCTCTCACATTTAAGAAGTGACTGCAGCACTTGAGATCCCTGTAAATGTCCCTTATATTCTGCCCATCAATGTGAATTCATTCTCACAGAGCAGGGCTTTTATTGACCTTCATACATTTATTCTTTTCAGTTGTTCAGGTGTGTCGACCTGATCGCCTTTATTTCTTATTTTATTAGATATTTTAATCTTTGCTTTTATTCAAGTGCTTACACTGCATGCAAAAGTTCTTGAGCACAAAAGTGAGGTATAACAAAATTTCATTTTTTGTTTGTTCATAAGAGTATTTAGGCTTTTACATCCTCCCCTGCGGTGCCTTGTAGTCAGTACATTTATAAAACATGTGGGTAGCCTGTATCTCAGCAGTTAAATGAGCTTTGCTTCCAGTTTTATCCTCCCACAGTCCCCCAGAGGACAACATCCACCAGCAAGGTCACAGCAGACTGACTACTAACAACCCATCACGCACCTCAGCAGACGGAGGCGGAGGAGGCACACACCTCTGTGCTGAAAAAAAAAAAAAACTTCAGAGCGAGACTCGGCATCCTGTCACATTTCAGTTACACTGCTTACCAAAAAGAATCATTCTAATAAGTGCAGCTACCAGGAATTTCAGAGCCAAAGTATACTTCTTAAAGTGTCAAGATATGGAACTGCCTGTTAAATGTACTCGCCAAATATAAATCTACAGACATAAGTGGTTAAGAGATGTAGATCCTCATCCTGTCTGGTTTTAAACATTTATTATTATTTTCATTTCAGATATTAAACTTATACACAAAATGAATATGAACATGTTTCTTTGAGGCATAATGATTCACTTCCATCTTCTATTCATCAACTGTCAAAAAAAGCTTAAGAGTAAAAGTACATTTTGGACTGACTACTGGGAGTCCTGGGACAGTTGGCAGTTAGAGAATACACTAACCGGTGCAATGTCTGTTTTTTTGTTTTTTTGTTTTTTTGCAGTTTGATGTCCCAGACTCCTGCAGTGGAGTCCAAACAGACACAATGAGTCCTCTCTATCGGATCCAGGTTGGCACTGTCATCCTCTGCACACACTGAGTCACTGATGAGCTCAGATGATCTGAGCCGCTGTCTGTCTGGGGACAAATTAAAACACTGAACCACAAAAAAAAAAGGAGCGAAATCTGTTATGTAAATAAAAACTGTGGGCTCCTCCGGCCTATAAATCCTGCTGATTGTTCTACATTAGTTCGTTTTTTTAGCTACAATATGCCGTATTGCCTAGTTTCTGTTTTCAGCCTTCTTGGTGAATCAAAGGCATTTTTTGGCTGGTTTATTTACTGCCTGGAAAAATACAACGCACAACCACAGATGCTCAGTGACTCTTTTCAGAGTCACACTTAATTATTGTGAGAACATCATGACTCTCATCCAAGTCACAGTTTTTATTGACTTACCCACATTGAGTAACTTCATGTCATAAGATAGATTCATTTGTTTATTTCTGATTATCATAAAAATGTGTCTTTCCAGTGAAAATCTCATCTGAGTGGCCTCTTGATCATTGTAAAACATGGATTTGTAAATCCATTTCCTCTGTCCTGTTTTTCTCCCCACAAGTTTGTCTTTCTTGACGAACAGTGTCTGTGAATAACGACATTCAGAGGATCAGGCTGTTGGTGCAGTGAGATGAGGCGTCTTTGCTTGAACGGCAAATGGTTGACTAAGGATTTGCTGCTGGCGACTTCGGCAAGATACAACCTTCCTGTGTAAGAAGGACATACAGCTCAGAGAAACAGACATCAGCAGAAACACAGGGCACCCGAGAACAGCTGTACATCCAATTGAACAATCCTGACACAAACATGCTTTTTGTTTGAGTTTGAAAATGAACATATTCAGAAAACTATCTTTCTGAACCCATAAACAAGTTAAAGGTCCTTGTATGAAAAATGGTCAGAAAACAAATAATAATGTCTCCTTTAGGATGTTTAGAA